TTGCCAGCACTGTGATATATATTTTTTAATTATATATTATATATTAATATTACATTATTTTAAGAGGTACGCGCGGAAGACAAAACTTGATCAAGTTTCGGCACTCATTTTACTCATTTCAATCTCTGCATCGAACCAGAAATCGAGATAAGTAATCTTGAATCTAGGGAAATCATTTTTATTCTATTTATTGACTTTAATCTAATGATTGACTCAATGAAACAAATATTATTTTCCAAAAAATGCAATGCATTCTAACAAGGAAATGCTCGATCACAGAAATGAGTGTCAAACAAATGTTTGGTGTAGAAATGATGCGAAAGATAGTAACTTAACTACTTTTGAAGTCATTTGGACTGGACAAATGTTGTGTATGCCCCCTTTAAGTTTATAATCTTATATAATCATAATAACTTAATAAGGCAGGGTGAGGGCAGATTTACATCATGTAATAGTCCGCCAAAAATAATTTACAACACACATTGAATTTGAGGATCGCGCGCGTTATGTCTTGCAATCGTCATCCAATACATAATTCATCACTCCTATTATAATCTGTTGTCTATACTATTACAAACTGAATTACTATTCTGTAAGTCGGGGCACGGGCACGTGGGATCACGTGACAGCGAGACGAGTAGTTTGTTGGGTGACATGTAATTAGTGTTCCTCAGAAAATAAATAGATATAAATCTGCGTCCACCGCCACATGAATATTAAACTCGATGAGAAACAAGCTCTCTTTCTCTCTCCGCCGAATTGTCGATCAGAGCTTCAATTCGGCGGAGACACAAGTCTGGAGTACTCATTACTTATGTAAGACTCTCCTGGTTTTGATATATTCTAATTGAAATGGAAAATAGTTTGTTTCCTTTCATGTTATTATAATTAATTTCATTTTTATAAATATAACCTTAACTTAATTAGTCGAAGGTAATTAGTAGTTCTAGCAATATTATTTTGGATTTATTTAGTAATTTATCATCATTTTCTCCATTTTCGCCATAAATCATAATCAATAAAGCAGCAACGCTTTCTTGGGCTTTCTGACAATCAATGTATTCTATGCGACATAAGAAATAATTAATTTACCTAATTGCTTATTGCTTAAACGACATTTTAAAAAAACAATTACAAAATATGCTTATTATAGGTCGAGGCAGAAATAATCGTCCGATCATAATGAAGCCTGGTGACAGCGATTGGTTTCAAACTGTGCTAGAAAAATTAGAAGAAAAGGGGCAGCAAACTCTCACAAATATTGCGGACATTTTTAAGGTTGATTTGGAGTTGGATGGAAAAGTGATTAAAACCTGGGACTTGACTAACGAGTTGAAGGAAAATGGCGTAGCTCATTTAGAGATCAAAAATGAGACCCTTAACGTCGATGTTGCTATCAGTTTCATACACAAATCTTTAGATGAGACATTAAATGATCTGCCCGGCTATCAATAGGTGATGAATAACCGAAACGCAGCTGGAATTTGGTATAAAACGAGAGCTACCCTGATGAGTAGCGAAGCGTTTGAGCCAAGAACAGTAGCAATTCTTATAGCTGGATCAGTTTTCGTTATCTTAGCGTTGATTGATTTTATATTTAAATTGAAGGAGAAGTCGAAAATTATGGTAAAATTGGTGAGATGTATTTTTCCTGTCATGAACATGATAATGGGAATGTTCATTCTGAGCGAGGAAATTGCTGCAAATCTAATACTAAGCGGTGTTGTGTCTAGTTTTTATAATCTTTTTCTTGCTTTTTACAGCTTTTCAGGTCGTTTGCACCAGACAACGATGACTTTCCTGAAGTTTTATCAATAAACAGTTTACTCATTTCAATGCTTCATAATATACAAGCCATTCGTTTTCAGGGAACACAAAAAAAGGATGGACAAAATCTTAGGTTTTGCTGTTTTCCTTCAGCTGGTTATGATTTATGTACCCTTAACAATTTGGCAGTTTGAAGCAGTTTGGGCGCTGTGACGACTTCGGATGGCACCTCAACATTATGTCCGTGATAGAAACAACACTGCTCCTTCTGGGATATGCCGGGTCAGCAATACTCTGCACCATCTACATAGTGGGCTATTACCACAACTCTACAAAAGACGTGGGCAGCAATCAGAGAAAGAATCTCAAGCAGTGTCTTCTTACGAGTTCGGTGGAGATATGCTTCGACTTGGGGATACTTTGCTACCTTTTCTGGCATAGAATCCAGGATAAGGGTGCACTGATGTTAGGTTCCTTACTTGATGGAGTGGCTTCTGATTGCGAAATTAGCGCTACCTTACTCTTGGGAGATACTTATAAAATTCCTACTAGTGCGCTGAAGATTCTCTCCATACAGATGTTTCTGCAAACCATTGTTAGAGTCGCACTGCCAATTCGGAATCGATACACGTGTAGAAAGGTTTAGGTTACAGAGCTGACAATAATACCTGGATATTGAACAACAGATGCCAATTTTTCGTGACTCTGGTGCCCAACTTCGACCTTGGTCCCCGACCCCGAACCTAAAAGCCCCGAACTTGAACATTTGCTATATGTTCCATCGTCATAATTTTTTCGTTTTGTTGTTTACTGCTGATGCCTGATATGAGCTTTTTGTTGCAATTGTTTAATAATAATAGTTTTTCATTTCAAGATGTAATATTGCTTTTTCGCTTCAATAAATTTCAAGTAAAATCTGTTATTCTTTGTATAATTCACAATTCGAATTACTCATAGCACCTTACATAACGTGTTCATCCATAAATTAAAACGAATTATGGGCAGTTTCTAAGAAGCCGGACCACTGAGGTTAGACTTTAGTGTACTGGTAGATTTTATGGTAGACTTTAGGGTGGACTTTAGAACAGAGTTGAATATGCCTCATCAGAAAAGCTGTATGATCATTAGAACATCAATGTTAAGTACGCCGAAAAACCGCTGTTTGTCAAAATTCTAAGAAATACTTGAAATACGGCCCATTTTGCAGTTTCGGAAAAAAAATTGTTGATGTTAAGTTTTTCCGAATATACGCACGTTACGTATTTTTTATGCGATAAACGTTTCCGCAAAGTACGCAAGTACTTAAAATATCAGCTGCCACGCTCCGCACACCTGACATCATAATCTGGTGTGGTGTGGTGTGGTGTGGTGTGGTGTGGTGTGGTGTGGTGTGGTGTGGTGTGGTGTGGTGTGGTGTGGTGTGGTGTGGTGTGGTGTGGTGTGGTGTGGTGTGGTGTGGTGTGGTGTGGTGTGGTGTGGTGTGGTGTGGTGTGGCGTGGCGTGGTGTGGTGTGGTGTGGTGTGGTGTGGTGTGGCGTGGTGTGGTGTGGTGTGGTGTGGTGTGGTGTGGTGTGGTGTGGTGTGGTGTGGTGTGGTGTGGTGTGGTGTGGTGTGGTGTGGTGTGGTGTGGTGTGGTGTGGTGTGGTGTGGTGTGGTGTGGTGTGGTGTGGTGTGGTGTGGTGTGGTGTGGTGTGGTGTGGTGTGGTGTGGTGTGGTGTGGCTGATTACGTAACAATAATATGTAGGTCTGTAAAAGCATTAGAATCGGGCGTTGCCTGCCACAGGCTATCCCGAATTAAGAAGCTTGCTTTATTAATTCAGTTGTTCAACGACAACGCTGTAAAATTAAAAGGGTCGTTTGAACTTTGAATCTTCTGAGTTTAGAGATCTTGAATTCCACATGGCGTCATGGCGTCCGTGATACCAGCTGCTATAAATCCGTTTGTGATAATAATTCTTACCCTCAGCTGTATATATGAAAGCATATCATAAATCTTACATAACGATCAAGCCAGGGACGTAGCCAGGATTTTTCTTTGAGGGGGGCTGTCGGCGAGCGAAGCGAGCCGACGCGTCCAATCAAGCTGTGGCAGGGGTCTGGGGGCGCAGCCCCCAGCGGGGTCCAGGGGCGGAGCCCCTTGGCGGGGGCTAGGGGGGCGCAGCCCCCCGGAAATTTTTTGCGAAACAGGGTGTTTTAGACGACATTTGGCATTAAAGAAATTTGTAGGACAGCAATAAACTGGGATTGAAAAGAATCAAGTACTCACGTAAATTTGGTAACTTCACAACAGCAATCTGCATTCTCCAATCAGAATTTACGACTTACTCAGGCCTCATCGTCTTAAGATTTTTACATTTCCTACGGTCTAGGGGACACTATTGACTATAATTATAGAAGTCTTCTAGAATGTTTGCTTGGATTTAATGACATATATTTACTAATCCACAGTTCAAATCTTTGACTGACTGCAGTCATACAGCCCAGTTACCAGGCGACCATGGGGACTAGGGGGCTTATCTTTTTTCTGGGGTTCGATTTTTTCCGGGGGGGGGGGGGCCCCCCTAGCCCCCCCCCCCCCCCCCTGGCTACGTGCCTGGATCAAGCATTCATTGGTCTCCTATGTAGTGTCCACACTTAATTGTGCCCTTTACACGAAAATCGCACAATGCAATCAAATGTTTTACAAATTTCAATTTGCAGAATACAACAAACTATCAGTATCATGTCACCTCTATCTCTCAAGAACTTCCTTCCATTTCAAACATGCAGTAAGACTAATAGTATTAGTAATGGTGCAAGAACAAAATAATAATTTAGTATGGTTGCTGAATAACGTCTACTGTTTGTACATATATGTACTTTTAATAAACTTCCCCACAGTGCACAGAGTCACATCCAAAATAATCATGAACTTCAATCATTTTGACATTGCTCAAGAAAGGCTAAAATAAAGAAAGCTATATAACTACCTTAGTTCGTTTAATTATGGCGGGTTAAATTTTGGCGAGTTCTGACAGGGTATATATGGCATAAAAATTTTGGGAAAATCCGCCATATTTTGACCCGCCATTATTTTGACCCACCACAATATTACCCGCCATAAATATACGAACTAAGGTATATGAGAATTGAGATTGTTATCAACTTTGAATGGATAGGCTGTAATATAATCATGTTAATATGTTATTGTTAATATAATATAGAATTTAAACTTTATCTGAGTTAAATTTATGTTAAACCAGTGATAAATCTGTGTCCTCGTCCACCTTGTCTGCGACTTCATTTTTCATCATGTCCAGACCTCCTTCATCTGTTCCGCCATCATCTGTGACAACATAGTCAGCGGTGTTGTAAAATTTCAGTGCTAATGGAAATGAAATCATAGCTTCGACACAAACAACAAATGCAAGACAGTTTCGTACTCTTAGACCAGCGGGCCATATGTCGTTGTATTTGAATTGTTCATCTTTTACAACACCATGGTGAACTAGAGTGCCGAAGAGCACGTCCTGGAATTTTGCCAGAAGTGTGAAGATCTTGTAAACTAGGAACTTTGCAACGATACCTTTGTGCTGCAGCGACTCCTCTGCACTGTGGTAGATTCCTGACAGACCATATATAGCAAAGAAGAGCAGCACAACCAAGGTCACGTGGTAGACCGTTCCAAAGGTTCCCGTCAGTACACTGGCACCTTGATCTGCGTTTGGATACCCTTCTTCAGCATCAAGCATTATTATCAACTCTGCAAACCCAACTCCAAGGCAGTAAACTGCATAGAGGCCGACCAGAACTTCGCAGAAGATGAAGAACGTTTTAGTGAATTTAACAGAGGGTAAGCATACCAAACAGCACAGAGGAGGGACATTGAGATGCATATGAGCACCTTTCAGAGTAGACTTAGTAGCTTTCTTCCCTCCCATGTACGTGAAGACAAGTCGCAGGAAGAAGAGAAACGTCAGGGCCTCTAATCCTTCAGACAAGAAAACCGTTACCTCATAAGATTTAGGCACTATCATCCCCACTAGCTGCATGAAGCTGAAGAAGGGGTAAACTTGGAGAATCCCGACTGTGCACAAAAACTGGATGGGAAACTTGGTGCAGTACTTTTTGTGTTTTATGACCGCCCGGATGTCCATAACCAACATAGCAAGAGTCATGGCAGTGGCGAGGGCGATGAGGGGTACCCATTCTGGAGGGTATCCTTTCTCTAGAATTTCGCTGAACGAGGGGGCTGGCTCACCCATCCCTAGAGATTATTGGGAAGTTATCAATAAACACATGCTTCGACATCATCATGACCAAAATAAATAGTTAACTAAACAGTTAATATGAAGTACATTATCCTAGTAAACCATTAAACTACCTTAACCTAAAGCATAAAAGTCTTCCAACAGACCTTTGTGCTTTGTACCGCCTAAATTGTTTCTGCTAATGTAATTGTAACATGTACGTGGTTGTTTTGGGTATGAGCCGCTGTACTTCATTCAGGGGCGTTCACATATTACGTAAACATATTGGTATTACTATTTATGAATACCAATTTTAAAAACTTTTTATGAATACGACATATTGTCTTCTTGCGCGAAAAGAGGTATACAGCGTGTGTCAAGTGATTACATAATATTATGTGAAAGTGAATGACCCCTTGCCTTATCAAGCAAGGAAACTCATAAAATTAACTACGAGCTACGACGCTATTGCGCGAGCACTGTGATGCAGCAGGGTACCCACTACTCAGCTCTCACAAATATTATTCCTGCTTAAATTGTAACAAGTGAAACTAACAAGTGAAACAATTAGGCAGCAGTACGAAATGTCCAGGAGGATATAGCAAGGTGGATACAGATCGGTAATATGCCCAGAAGTAGGCCAATTAGGTGTTAGGCCTAGGGCAAGTTTTAGCGCTTGCCAAGCACTACAAGTACAAGTTGCCAGCCATGCTTGGTGCGCTACACTTCCTGTTACACTCCTAATATAAGGGATAGAGTTCACATACTACGTAATCACTCACGGCAAAGGATTTCTAAATCAAAATGATTGGGCTAGTGTTATTTTAACTCAATAGCTATGTGTAAAACTGATTACAGAGGGGGTTTAGTGATTCCGTAGTAATATGTGAACAACTAGCCATCATATAAGCATGACGTTGTGACGTGTGCGAGCAATTGGCAGTGGGCGCTGAATATCCGGTACTGGTAGAAATGGTATAAAACAACTTGGGTACTTGCTGTGCTCCCTTATAGGATGTAAGAATTTGCCAAAAATGATTTGGGTAACCCCTAGTAATGTCTTTTCTAGCACTTTTAGATGTTGCAATGGTAGAGGTTGTCTCACTTGCAACAGTTTTAATCCTGTAAATACATTTAGGAGCAGTACTTTTAATAATGATTTTATCTTTGGACATACAAATTTTATATTTGATTGTAAACTAATAATGTTATTTATGTTATTACCTGTTCTACCTGTAAAAAACAATATGTTGGAGAAACAACTCAACCACTTCATAAAAGAGTCAATGGCCACAGAAATTGTGTCAAAGCCAAATCATCCACATTTTTATATGAACATTTTAATATTCCTGGTCACGTCTTCTCAGATGCTTCCATGCAGATTGTAGATTATGTTGATTCTGACATGTCCACCGATGTCAAAAATGATTTACTTCTCCTGGAGGATTACTGGATAGAGAAGCTTGGGACAGCATTCCCTCTTGGTCTTAATGACAAGAAGAAAGGAACGGGTAACATCTCCCAAGATCGGGTTATGAATTATTTTAGTGGACAGATTGCTCGATACAAACGTGGCAGAGGGAATGGAAAGAAGAAAGTTCAGCCTAAGAAGTCTCTGGATACCATAGAGTCTGATATTAACAGGCTGAAAGATAACATCTCTTCAGAACATTCCATATACAAAACATTAAAATGTTATAGCTTATCAGATTTAGACACTCTCTACTCTTTGAGTCAAAATAATTCAGGATTGATTTACAACGTATGTTCCTCTTTCTGTTCAACATTTTCCCCCAAATACCATCAGAACAAATCTGAATCCAGTAATAGAGAATTTATAATTGTTCCATTTAATTGCAAATTCATTGATAATCTTAACCTAAAATCTATTTTCTCTGATACTTCAGTCATTGATTTGCTTCCCATTTTGATTCAGTCTTTTACACCATTACAGATTTATTATGAGTATAATGATCCTATAAGTCTTTCTATTTGTAACTATGCTTCATTCTTAAAGAAACTTTCTATTTCTGATATTAAATCTATTTTAGATAGTCCATGCGATTGCCACTCCTCCCCTTTCAATTATCCTCCTCATGGACATGTAGTTACTGGTAATTTAGATATTGTTGATAATGTTGAACTTAGGGAAGTACTTTCCTACGGTTGTAAATACAGAATTCCCACATTTAAATCTCCAGATGAGATATATATGTCAGTTACCGAAGCTGTCGATAAATTTATAAAATCAAAAAGTAGAAAGTACTGTCAAAAAGAAGTAAAGTTCAGCGATTGGAAGGAAAAAGTGTTATCAATAGTTTCCAATCGTATTGAATATTACAAGAAAAACTTTCCTGAAACATTTGAAATAAAAGAAAACACACTGGAAAAAGATGATGTTAAAAGAAGTCTTAAATTGCTGAAAAGTAAATACATTATTTGTAGTATCGACAAAGCTTCTGGTAATTTTGCATTTATTTGTAAAAAGTTTTATGTAAAAACTCTTGTCAATGAAATGGGTTTTGATCCTAATACTCTAGAATGTATAGGTAATGATACATATAAACCCTGTAGCGAAGACGAGACTCATTATGTCAATAAAATATCTGAGAGTCTAAAGGAGAGATTTAATGTACAAGTTGAAGATAAAAACTTGCGACTAGCACGCATCTTCTGGAACCCTAAGCTTCATAAGAACCCTTACAAGGCGAGGTTCATTGCAGGTGCCCGTTTTTCCGTAACGAAACAACTGAACGTCCAAGTTAACTGTTGTCTGAAACTTTTGAGGAAATACTTCAAGAAATACTGCGAGGCAATCTACAACAACAGCGGTATAAAAATGTTTTGGAGCATAGATTCCTCAAGTGAATTCCTTGAAGCTATCAAAAATAGCGATGTTTATAATATACAAGTTTATGATTTTACTACTCTTTATACCAGATTAGACTTGATTGAAGTAGAGAACATGATTAATGAAGTTGTTGATTTAATATTTTCAGACCGTAATAGATATATTTGTATTTCTAAAAGAGACAGTAATACATGTTTCTTTTCCAATAAAACCTATGATTCTCATGCCTGCTTTAGTCAAGATGACCTAAAAGAGGCTGTTAAATTTATTATTTATAACACTTATGTTGTCCTCGGCGGGATTGTATTCATACAAACCAAGGGTATTCCTATGGGTGGAAATTCAAGTTCCCCTATACTTACTTTCATAAATTGATTAAAGATATTTATCCTAATTCATTGGAGATGGAGCGAGCTGGTTCCAATAATAAAATCATTAACTACCTTGATTTAAATATTAATATTTCCACAGAAGGACTAGAAATATCAGTGTATAACAAAACTGATGATTTTAATTTTCATGTTGTATCCCTTACATTTCCTCACAGTAACATCCCAACCGAGGTTGGCTACAACGTTTTTTCAAGTCAAGTTCTTAGATATGGTAATGTTTGCACTAGATTGGATATCTTTACCTCCCATCTTCACAAAATATTCAAAATTCTAATTGATAAAGGATATAGCCGTGATAACCTGATTAAAGGCATTAAACGTTGTCTGAGGAGATATGATAACGTTTTCAGGAAGTTCGGTATTCTAGATGACCATAACATTATTAAAGAACTCCCCTGATATCTTTTGATTTTATTGAAACACGGGTACTAACTCTGCTAAACTGAAAAAATTCTGAAACTTAGGTGAATAAGTGTACAACGTGCTAAACCGAAGTTCAGACTGACCATTGAAAATGGGCGAGCGTACCAAGTGTCATTTTAATTAGAAGTTTTAGTCAGTGATTTATTATTGAAGCTTGTAATTACAATAACTAATGCTCCTATAAATACTTTAATTAATTGTTTGTTCCGTTATTCTTTTTCCTTCCTCTTTTCCTTGTCATCCCCTTTAGTTTTAAGATTCTTGCTATAAATGGCTACAGCTAACACTATTAATGCTAAGTACCAAACAACAAGTGGGAGGTGGATCGTTGGTATACCATTAAATCGATTTAACACCGCAATTGCAGTCGCAAGCCTGGGACCACTACTAGCATAGTCACAACATCTACAAAGCTGCCATATAGCCTGACTGACAATTTTCTCGACTGACTGACAATGTTTCTTCTTTTCCCATTTAGAATACAAAGATTAGTACTTTTAGCTTATGATTAATATTATATTTTTACCTATAGTTTACCTAGAGTAATATGTGAAATGTGAATGACCGCGGTGACACCTAATTGCTATTTGCTAGTTGGCCACTTATTCGAATAACTGAAGTGAAAACAAAACCTTTTTCACTGATAAGATAATAACACCCTCGATTAATTTGCAACCTTCTACGATGTTCACAACTAAAAATATTTGACAAAAGAAAATTGAGATAAATTAAAGGGGGGAAAATGGAGTAATGGAGAAATTTTCCAATCCTCAGCCCGCTTTCCCCATTAAATTAATATTCTCCCCCTTTTTTCCCCATTTCCCCCATTGGCTCCCCCTGTTTGTAGCAGTGATTATTCAACAGGAAATTTTCGTTTAATCTAAAAAGAATGGGTACGGCGAATTTCTGTGAATTTAACAGCATTTTAACAAACCCCGGGGGACCGATATGGAAACGAAAGAAGTATATAAAATTTGAACCATTTCGTTAATCGAGATTTTGATTTCGATATTCGGAAATAATTTAGTTAATTTTATCATTAATTGATATTTTGATCACGAAAAGTTGGGACCTAGGTAATGATGCTTCGTGCTCAACCTCTTCCTAACTATCATTTTAAACAGAAAGATAATGGATCCAGCATTCAGCACACACCGTCTGACGAAGCACTTGTCCAAGTTTTACGATGTTGCGGTTGATATGTGAGATGCTGTCGAAGCATCACAACAAGAGTTTCCGGGGGAGCCCATTGATGTGATGGAGATAACGAGTCTGTTCACTATGGGTATGTCATAGTGATATATTATCATTGTAATAGCAATTAAACATCAAATGACTTCATTCACTCATTCAGAGGACCATCAAAAGGGCTGTGTTGGGCTTCATGGTTAGTGCCTTCAGAGCTTAAGCCACAATGCATATTCCCCTGAGTCCCTGACCCATAAACTCATTGATTTGACAATATTCACCGCTCTCTGGAGATTCCTCGGCTTGTTTTATTGTCTGATTGTGAAAGCTCCCCCTTAGCCCATAGGGACAGGGTTGCGGTTGTAGACACGTCATGGATATGTTAATGCATTATATGGATATGTATCATATTATGTAAGTACAGATTATAAGTAGGGATCCTTAGGTTGATGCACAAATTATCGCTCTCTCCGTGAATGTTTCTAAACGGTCATCATCTAAGAGTACACTCCCTGTGCAGGAATAATGTGTTTCCTCCTATCCTCGAGGCTTGATGTTGTAGTGGAATCAATGATTTTCATTTCTGTAACTTATAGACCTTGTTATCTGCTTCCACTCTGCTTTATTACAAACTTATACTGTGTCACTGTGTGTCTAGTAACTAGTTATATGTATGTATATTGTATAATCCTATTATTTCATTCCTAAATAAATTAATATTGACTAAATGTAAACTAATATTGTTTAAATCTAGAGTTTGAGCGTTAAAATGACGGTTAACGGTGTTGAAGAAAACAAAGGAGAAGAGACTTCCTATACATTCATCATCCGAACTGGTTCCTACATTCCTTCCAAGAAGTCAACCAAGAAATGGGACGATGGAATGATGATTTTGACGGTTAACCCTGGATGTGAGACTTCGGAATCCAAGCCCCTTAAAATCAAGGAACTCTTCCCGATAATGACAGAAGGGGCAGTGACGGTAGATTTTTGGCTTCCCGCCCATGTAGGGGTACCAAAACTGATTAAAGTAGACTTGGAAAGCAACAGATTTGAACTTGTGAAGGATGCTCTGTATGTGCGGGAAATAACGATCGTGTATAACCGGGACCCCTACCGTTTCCCCATCAAGAACTTTGTGTACCCTCATAACCCGATGCGAGGAAACCCTACTGTTGCCGAATTGGGATGCCCACCACATTTTCTTGTTCGAGAAGGAGCTGGAACTCTGAAACACCAAGAAACTGAGGACTTCATCATCAAAGCAAGAGAAGAAGATTTGCAAACCATTCACTCCTTGGTTCAGTGGAATGATTTCAAAAATGAATCAAGTGGATATTTTTATCCCGGTTACTTGAACATCATAGAGTATGACAATCTACCAAGGTTTCTAAAGTTTAGGGAAGCAAAATTTGACGCATTCACGAATTTGAGGGCTCAAGGAGTGAAAAAGATTAAGAGTAACATTTTGTCAAACATAAAGGAAAAAATCTTGGGAACGTACAAAGAGGAAAAGGCCGACTCTTTTCAGAAATACAGAGATTATATGAAAGAGCAATCAGATGAAATGGAATGGCCCAAAGACCTTGTCCTTGATGCATTGAAAGTTTCCAAAGTATTCCGTCAGGATGAGGAGTTCGGAAGACAGATGCTGTGTGGCCCCAACTCTTTGCACATCAGAAGGGTAACATCCCTGGAGGGACGCTGGGCTGGAGGAACAGTTCCCGACCACGCATTGGAAAATAAATCCGTGCAGGACGTGATAGGAGAAGGACATTTGTTTGAGGTTTGCTTCGACGACTTAGTTGGTATCCCTCATGGTGGGGCATTCAGCAAAAAGCTGACCGGAACCGCACAAACTTGGTATGTGTGTCTCGCCGATTGTCTTCTGTATCAGAGAGATGATGGAAAGTTGGTTCCTGTTCTTATTCGATTAGAAAACAGAGTTGATGGGGAGCCTGAAACTTGGTGGTCCCCTCCTAGTCCTGATATAACGGATTTGAATGACCCCGAACATCTAACCTGGCTATACGCCAAAATGTGGTTTAGGTGTGCTGATCTAAGCGTATACTCTGTGTGCACCCACTACGCTAGAGGTCACGCCACCAACGAAATCTTTGCAGTAGCAGCTTACCGAAACCTACCAAATGCCCATCCCATCTTTAGGTTACTGCAGCCCCACATTCAGGGAGTAATCCCGGTCAATGTTCAAGCAAGAGCTGTGCTGATAAATCCTGGTCAGAATGTCTTTGCCTTATTCCTCTCAGCAGGTGATAGCTTGAAGATACTTCTACACAACTACTACCAAACCTTTGATTACGCAGACCTGAATTTAGAAAAGAACTTTGAAAAACGTGGTGTTGAAGATATCCCTGAGTATTTATACAGAGAAGACACTCTTGATTACTGGAAATACATCGGTGAATACGTCTCTGAGATGGTAAATTTGACATACCCCTCCGATGAAGACGTCGTAAAAGATTTTGAGCTTCAGAACGTCTTCAAAGACTTGGTTGACTTTGGCTTCCATGGCTACGAAAACGTTGCTGGTTTCCCACGATCAATGGCCAATAGAGAACATCTAGTTGAGTATCTAACATGCGTCATCGTTAACATCTCTGTATTCCATACCGCGGTCAACTTCCAGACATTCACCACTTACACCTTCCCGCCGAATGTCCCCTCGTGCATGACCCTCCCTCCTCCTAAACAAGATACAAAGGTCACCATGGATATGATACTGGACGCTCTTCCTGTGTTGGAGCTCCACTTCATTGCCATGAACATATCAAATAACCTGGGACAGTACTCTCCTATTGAGAGATTCTACCTCGACTCACCCGGAGAGAACAAACTTGGCATTTTTGGAGAGAACATGGCTGTTTCTCCTGAGCAGGAGGCGTGCATGCAACGGATGACGGAGAAAATGAGGGGGTTGAAGGCGAAAATTGACGCTAGAAACGTTGGACGATATATTAAGTATGATGTTTTGAGTCCAGTTAACACTCCTCTGACCACCCAGAGTTAAAAACGAACAGACTGAAGTATGACAAACTGCCTTATTATAGTGACGTTTTTGTTTTGTGCTATATTATTAGTTATACTGATATCTGGATATTATCCGGTTGGAAGAGACAAGGACAAGTGAAACAAGGAAGTTAGGAGTAAGGGCAAATTTTCGGCGTCAACGCCATCTTCAGGCTCAAATTATTTCTTATATAGTAGTGTTGAAAGTATTAATACTTTCAACACTACTATATAACAAATAATTTGAGCCTGAAGATGGCGTTGACGCCGAAAATTTGCCCTTACTCCTAACTTCCTTGTTTCACTTGTCCTTGTCTCTTCCAACCGGATAATATCCAGATATCAGTATTTCAATCATGATACTAATAAACAGCGAACTACTCCGTTATTTGATATTATTAGTTGATTATATAATTATATTATTAGTTGATCTCAGATATTTCCGGAAACTTAAACGCAATATATAATGAAAATTTGCGATATGGAATTAAACTTTAAATTAAACAGGAATTAAACATGAAATTACCAAGGAGAACACTAACGAACTCGTTTTGGCTATACATCAATTCATAAATACGTTCAGATATAGAACAAAAGCCGAATAAAAGTATGAAAATAAAATCTTAAAATTTAACCGCGTTACAATATCACGAAGATAAAATCAAATATAATAATTTAAATGCTAATAAAAATTCTGGATGAGTGCATAAAAGCAGGTCCAAGGAGATAGGTTAGACTTAGAGACTACGATAAGTTGATGGGACGATGAAGGAGATGAGTAGGGGACGTGAAGCGAGGATTAGGACTTATTCTTATGGATTGTTTTTGAAAACGGTAAGAGGTACGTGGCTGGTGTTTTCGGTATAGTGTTCATAAAACTCTGACGAAGCCCAAGAGCCCAAGTTTTTTAATCGGCCGGTGGTAAGTGGTTTATTTGATAAATTTGTGACCGAAATGTGATACTAAAGTGTCTCTCCCTCTCTCCTACTCCCTTTCTCTCTCCCCATACTCCCATAACTGATATGCTTTATCAAGTATTACTATTAGATACGTGAGGGGTACTCAGAAATGAATTGAAGTATGCTTTGACTGGCCGATTTCATACTTTTGCACCGTTTTAACTACCAAAATGTAATGGGTTTTTAGAATATAATTATAATAGGTGGGTTTATACCCTTGCATTTCAACTGCGATAGTGAAGTCCCGGCCGTAAGCCTTGTAATTATTGGTTACACTAGTGTAACATAATCTCGAATATATTATTGCTACAAAACAGCATATTGGAAGTTATATTGGTAAATTATGTGTTGAGTATGTACAATTTGTGATATTTGGCCCTCGGATTTAAAGGAGAATGCGCAAATTTGGTCCTCAGCTCAGAGAACTGGAATAATCGCGATTTGTCGCGAGGATCTGAGAAAATTGCAAATTGTCTCGCCCTCTGCAAACGTCAAAAATCACGATTTGTCGCGGAGAATGGGAAAATCGAGATTCTGCACGTGCCGCTTTTTCCTTTTGACCTTGCTGACTAACTTACCATCGTTCAGGTAGATAAAGGATTTTCTGAAGCTGGTATAGACACTAGACAGCCACGTTACTGGGCCGCGCTTAGCCTGTCATTCCGCCTAATCTCTATTCGGTTATGTTTATGAACATGATAGCCTGAGGTCCCCAGGTAAACAGCCACACTGATCCGACAGTCATAGGATATCCGAGATACTCTCAAACAGATGCCGTATCTTGATGCTTTTGTAAAGGAAGTGTTACGATACCACCCTCCAGTGCATTTCATCAACCGGATATGTTCCAAACAAGTCAAACTTATAGTTATATGTGGATATTACCTCCCCTCTGATACCGGCGTTTGTATTTTTGTTATTCACTTATTGTTCAGTATTTTGTTATCTTCTTTATCTGCTCAATCTTCTTTGTGTCCTACTGGTATTCGCATGATTTCTTCTTAATAAAGACTTTTTACTTGTTGGCTCGAAATTGGTAAATGTTTCAGCTGTTGAGCAGTCAGAAGGTAATGCATCACTGGGAACAGTATTGGTCTGAACTCTGAACCTGTGAAGTTCAGTCAGCCCCAAAACCCTACACCTACATTTCCTTCTTCTTAGGACCCCGATTCCGCAAAATCGCGATTCCGCACGTGCCACGATTTCCTTTTGACCTCATGGTTTAATCCGTTTAGTTGGAGATTTTATAGTTGTGGTTACATTTTGTTACGTGTCGATCATAATCCAAGCTCTGCTATTTCTCTTTTATCAATATATTTTAATTTCCACTGTGCTTAATACAAGTGCAAGTACAAGTAAAAAGTCCATTATATCTGCCAAATTTCTGATCAGGAAATGAAATATTTGAGAATGGGACAGAAATTGGAAAATATGAATTTTCGTTTTGTAAAGCTTACTGTTAACTGTAGTATGCTTCGACGCTTCGTCCGACCGGAATCAAACTTCCAGCACCTTAGTTGTGACGGTATCATATGCCATCTAGAGTTTGCTGACTAATTGGTTGCTGGAGAAAATTCAGTCAAAACTGTAAAATTTTGGTCCAGGAAATTTCATTTTCAAAAATTGAAAATGGGGCAATACAGAGAAAAGAACACAATTAATTTTTCATTAAGTCCGGGATTTTGACTTCCAGTGTCTCAGTTTGATCTCGTACCATTCTTAGTCTTTTGGTTTACTGGCCACTGGGCAAAAATTCCATAAAATCTGTCAAATTTTTTTCAGGAAACAGTGTCGTGCATACAAACAGGCAGATCTCTGGAAGATTAAGAGCGGAAAATAGAAAAACGCCAACATTTCAGAAGAAATGCCAATGGCATCTGCAAAGTATGGATTGAGGAGATGACTGGAAAGAAATAAGGGGCTTATATAACTCTATAATAAGTTCACCAGTTTTTGGGAAAGATAGAACGATTTGTTTGGTAAAATTGTGTGCTTTGAAGACTGATATAATAGTCAGCCTGTTCAAAATAATTTATTTTTACTTTTTAAGATTTTACACAATAATTGCATTTTATGATTTATATTTTCAATTCCAATTACATTAAGGTAAGGACAGGATTTTTAGTGCTTTTTAAACCATTTTATGTTCAATTCCTGTTTAGTTCCTGCATGTCATGCGCACTGCGCAGGACCGTTTTAGGTTATACAATTATTATCGTTTTAGGTTATACAATTTTTGACCAATTTAAGTAAATATCATCATACGAGCTCAGGAAACAAAAAAATGGAACTTGAAGTTGAAAATACATTTTTCTTGCGACAGATTTGAGAAATTGTCATATTAATAGTTTTTAGTTTCCATTGGAGCTGTTTTCACTTAAAAGGAATTTCGATATTCTTTAAGAAAAAAGAAATCAAAACTTTTAATCACAATAAAAGAATAAACATCAAATTTACATTTTGATTTAAAACACGATGTCAACAAGAGTTCTATTATAATAATATGTATTTCTACAGTTGACAAACAGCGGCTTAGACACTATTATTTATCCAATTTATATATTATGCTATTTTATTATACCCAGATATTATGTAAACGTATATAATTGTATACCTTTACATATTATGATGGTTAGATTAACTAATATGTAATACTCTCCCTCCACAGGCAGAACTGTTAATGTTAAGTTACAAACTTTAGCAAAGTACAATACAATCTTCAAACCATGCATTAAAATTGAGTCGACAAAGAATATTCTGTTCAAGTTGTACTTGCAAATCTTGTTATCCTGAATCAAGTTGTATTTGCAAATCTTGTTACCCTGAATCAAGTCTGAGTGGTTAAAGGGACATTATCTGGACTCAAAAGATCATACTTTAAATAACGTCCCACATTTCTAGCATCTATCTTTACCTTGAGCTCCCTCATTCTCTCTGCCATTCTCCGGATACATGCTTCCTGTTCTGGAGCTACTGCCATGTTTTCTCCGATGATGCCCAGTTTATCTTCAGCAGCATCTCCCAGGAAGAACCTCTCGATTGGAGAGTACACTCCAAGGTTGTACGCCACGTTGTAGCCAAGGAACGCTATTTCTCCTACTGGTAGGGTGTCTAGGATCCTGTCCATGGTAATCACTTCGTCTTGATTAGGTGGGGCCATTCTCATGCAGGTAGGAAAATTTGGTGCGAAGGAGTAGGTGAACGTTTGGAAGTTAACAGAGGCGTGGTAGAAAGAGAAGTTGAAGATGATAGCTGTCAGAAGCTCGATAAGTTTTTCTTTGGTTGACAGTGATTTTGGGAATCCGGCACCATTTTCGAATCTCCGGAAACCATTTTCGACTATTTCTTTGCAGAAATTTTGGATTTCCTCGTCTTTTTGAACGTCCTCATCTGATAGGTATGCCAAACCAACCATTTCAATTACATAACTTTCAATTATCTTCCAGTTAGCCATCATATCATCCCTGTGCAGATATTCGGGAATGTCCTTAACTCCACGATCCTCTACACCTTTGGGGAACAGAAGCTCTTCGTAGCAGAATTGTTTGTAATAATTGTCAAAAACTTTCCTCGTTTCATCACCGACTCCTAAGAACATAGAAAAGCCGCCCTCCTCAGGATTCATGAAAATAACTCTTGCTTGCACGTTAACAGGTACAATTCCCTGTATGTGTGGCTGCAGAAGTCTCAGTATTGGGTGAGCGTTCGGCAAGTTCCGATATGCAGCCACTCCAAAGGATTCTCCTACACCATGGGCTCTTGCAAAATGTGCACATAGGGAATACCTGTTCAAGTCCGAGCTCCTAAAGTAAATCTTGGCTAAGAGCCACTTCAGATATTCCGGATCTTCTTTGTCTGTCCCTGGCTTTGGAGGTGTCCACCAGGTTTGGGGTTTTCCGTCGTTTCTATTTTCCAGCCGTATCAACACGGGAATCATTCGACCGTCGGTGGTCTGGTAAAGAAGACAATCAGCCAGAGTTACATACCATGTTTGTTTAGTTCCAGTCACTTTCAGACTCTGCTTACCTCCATGCTTAACTCCGATTAATCCATCTGTCGTCACTTCAAATAAGTGTCCGTCCTCCAACACCTGTTGGGGTGACTTTCCTTCCAGTGAATAATCAGTGATCTCTCAACACCCTCTTTCCATCGTCCTTCCAAAGATTCCACCTTCCTAAGTTTTATTGCATGTGGTCCACAAAGCATTTGTCGACCAAACTCTTCATCCTTATGCCAAATTTTGATAGCTTTCTGTGCTTCGTAAATTTGAGTTTTATCCCAGCCCATTTCTTCAGCCTTTATCATCATATGGTCTCTGTAATGGTCAAAAGAGTCAAACCTTTCCTCCTCGTAACTGAAAATTATTTTTTGGAGAACGTTTTGAAGGGCGTTCTTTTGAACTTCACTCTTTCCTCCCAGCTTTAAAGCCAGGTACACTTCCAAACGAGCCTCTCTGAACTGCAAGAACCTGGGTAACTTGTCGTAATCCTTGACTCCCAAGTACCCTGGATACAGTAATGTACCTTCCTCTTTTGCGGGATCCACCCACTTTACCATGGATTGAGTCGTCTCCAAATCTTCTTCTCTTGCTTTGATGATGAATTCCTCGGTTTCATGGTGTTTCAGAGTTCCAGTCCCTTCTCGGATTAGAAAATGTGGTGGACATCCCATCTTAGCAACAGTAGGATTTCCTCGCATCGGGTTGTGTGGATACACAAAGTTCTTGATGGGAAAACGATAGACCTGATAGTTAAAGATAATGGTGATCTCCCGCACAAAAAGGGCATCTTTAATCAGCTCCAACTTATTACTCTCCAAATCCACCTTCAGCAGTTTGGGTACTCCAATCGTGTCAGGCAGCCAGTGCTGAATCCTAACACTTCCCTCAGTGTCGAAGTCAAAGCTCTCAGTGACCCTGATAGGTTGGGATTCAGTGCTGTCAGATCCTGGGTTGATGGTTATGATCATAGTTCCGTCGCACCATTTCTTGCTCTTTTGGAGCTGCGGATAATTTGACCCGGTCTGGATGATGAAGGCATAGGGTACTTCTTCTTGAGCAGGCATTGTTGTAGCTAGAAATAATAATTAGGTTTTGGTCAATACAGCACGTAAGAATTTAACAAATGTGAAAACAATTTATATCTACAACAAATACAAGTATAAAACCAGATCCCACGATACGGATAAGTGCACGTGTGCACGTGTGGACATGACCACGATAAAGTGCACCAAAATAAACTTACAATCGAACTAAACAGAATACACGATAATATAACGACCGTATTGTACGATTTAGTAACTGATACCTCAGATGACATTCGTCCAATAATCAAACGAACAAGTTTAACGAGTGTGTTTCATTATTGTCCCGATCGAACTACAAGGGAGTAATACTATTATACATTTGCCTAAGAACTGAAGAGTATAATTAGTGAAAATTAAAAATAACGACACTGCTACTTACTATACTAGCACAACTGCAGTTATTTAACTATTTAATAATGACGCGAATACTACACTTAAAGTTGTTTGAGCTTACGTTGACAAAGCATCTGCCACAATTATAACATACACTGGAACCAACAATTAAAATAACTTCGGAATTTTACCTCATGAAACGATCAACACAGAACGAATGACCCTGACATCCTTAAAATAAAAACTGTTACATTATTTACACAATGACCAGTGTCATGTGAATAAAGCAACAAACATACCGGCAGGAACTGAAACTGTTCTGTCAAAAATAAATACTCCTATCAAGAAGAATGATTAACATTAACTTACTTAACAGTCGCGAGAAAACTTGATTAGATGTAATTGGAAACGAATATGTAATACCTGCTATAAGATATGAGTATTGTAATATAATATATATCATATGAATAATTTCGATGACTGAAGGTGGTGAAAGAGGTGAAAGAGGTGAGGAAAGAGAAGTAAATAAGGAAATAATATAGTAGGGAAGGACTGAAGGAGGTTGGGATAAGATGGAGAAGAATGTAAGATCACCTAATACATGTAGTACCTACTAGTAATTGATTGTGACATTGTAGCGCGATGCGTTACTGTGCCGCGCCGCGCACTTAATAAGGCTTCTCACAGCTAAATCGGCGAGATGCGCTACTGTGCCGCGCCGAGCTGCCATGAATTGACATCGTCAATTAAAGGTGTATATAAAGCATGTTATTATATGTATGAATTATTTTTTGCATAACATATATTTGTAAACCAATGACAAATTCAGCAGGCAATGTTTCAATGGAGATGCATTGCTCCATGGAGACATTGGCATTTGACCACATTGAATCAAAATTCCCAAAGTATAACGTTAAACGTGACCGTAACGTTTATGGTAAGTTATAGAACTCCTGACCAAACGGAGTTCCATAAATTGCTTATGGTACGGCAACAGCCTTGTTTTGAAGGCAACATGAGCCTTGTTTTGAAGGCAACATGAGCCTTGTTTTGAAGGCAACATGAGCCTTGTTTTGAAGGCACAAGGCAACAGCCTTGTTTTGAAGGCAACAGCCTTGTTTTGAAGGCACAAGGCAACAGCCTTGTTTTGAAGGCAACAGCCTTGTTTTGAAGGCACAAGGCAACAGCCTTGTTTTGTACGGCACAAGGCAACAGCCTTGTTTTGTACGGCACAAGGCAACAGCCTTGTTTTGAAGGCACAAGGCAACAGCCTTGTTTTGAAGGCACAAGGCAACAGCCTTGTTTTGTACGGCACAAGGCAACAGCCTTGTTTTGTACGGCACAAGGCAACAGCCTTGTTTTGAAGGCAAAATTTTGAAGTTCGGTGCCTTTTAATTGTGTAAAATTGCCAAAAAACTGTAACTTCTTCCGACACAAAGTGTTCATTGTCCAATGAGCATCCTGCCATGCTGTTACCATCGTGTTATTCTCGTGGTTGCCACATGACAGCTTACCAAACTGCTATTGGACAGCGCACGTTTGTCACGTGATTTGTCATTTGATTATTGATACTTATTGAGCACTGTATTTCATAAATCACATTTATTGAGGTACAGTACTGAATAAATGTTAAATTCTTTTATGAAAGTAATTCCTTTGCAATAGATACTCCTCTAATTTCCAACGATTACAGTGATATTTCAAGCTTGACTCAACCCTTGCTGTTCTCTCAAACTATAAGGATGAGAATTGTGAATCTAATTTTGCTTGAGCATGAAATCCAGCCCTTCTCGCTGGCTAATATAGGTCACGTTATCTATCATAGCTGACTGTACTTCGTGACTGTGTCACTCGGTTACCACGTGCCCGACAAACTGGTGCCGTACCATAAGAAAGTAAAACTTACACGGTTGCACGGTTATAGGATGTAGATAAAAGTGCAGATCACTACCCTACCCGGACAGATATGGAATCTCTACCTGCTTAGCTAGGTAGCTATTCTATTTGTAATTCTATATTTTACTCCTTATTGGTGTTATACCGTACTGGTACAAGACCAAAAAAATTATTGGACCAACAAATGTCAGCAATTTTCGATAACATTTTATTGACTGTTCATAAGTTATTTAATTTTCCAGCAGCTACAATTCTCAAGGGCAATAAAAAGACACAATTCTGATTTTATCATCGCATTCGTGATCACATTTGATGACTCATGACTGGCTTAGACAAAGTAGACAGGACAAAGTTTACAAAATAAACAAGTATGTTTTTATTAAACACTTCTAGCTACCAATAATAATAACTAAATCAAGACTATAGATGCTTGACATGCGAAAGCTGAAAAACGGCTTCTAAAATGTGAAGAATGCAAGACGTGTACATTTACAGCATTCGTATCATTCAGTTTTGATCTGTCATCGACATGCATTGCAAGCAAAGTGTAGTGGGAGGTAAGGGGAAGTACTAAAATTACTTGGATTTCTATCGCTTTGATAAAATGACTACAAGAAGATGTGGAGTTAATATTGTTTATTTATATGATATAGATTATTTATTCTTTAGTGTAGATTAACTTTATTTTTATATATTTTACTAAGTGTGAAGGATCAACCATACGTTATTGATATTGTTGAAATATTTAATGATAAATTGATATAACAATAAATGATTGTAATATTTTTATTGAGGCACATGCCACCCCATCGCGGGTTTACTACTACTACTACTAAGAGGAGGATCCACGCAGAAAAGAAGACACGCAGAAAAGAGAGACGGTAAATCAAGCGCTTTCATTTCATTATAGCATTGTGATCGTATTTGCAATTAGTAGCCCTAGCCCCTCTGCAGTCTGTATTCTATCAAATATATTTCCTACTGCCGAATCCCAGGTAAATGGTCCAAGCAAGGAAATATATTTGTGATACTAAAAATTTGTTAACTGGAAAAGAGATCTGTAAAAGTAAGACTTGTCTGTCAAAGATAAACTGCTAAACTGATCTTGGCAAAATATAGACTAACAATTCTGTAACAGGCTGATTGGCAAAGCATAGACTAGCAATACTGTAACAGGCTAATTGTCAAACTATAGACTAACAATTCTGTAACAGGCTGATTGGCAAAGTATAGACTAACAATGCTGTAACAGTGTAACAGTGTAACAGTGTAACAGTGTAACAGTGTAACAGTGTAACAGTGTAACAGTGTAACAGTGTAACAGTGTAACAGTGTAACAGTGTAACAGTGTAACAATGTAACAGTGTAACAGTGTAACAGTGTAACAGTGTAACAGTGTAACAGTGTAACAGTGTAACAGTGTAACAGTGTAACAGTGTAACAGTGTAACAGTGTAACAGTGTAACAGTGTAACAGTGTAACAGTGTAACAGTGTAACAGTGTAACAGTGTAACAGTGTAACAGTGTAACAGTGTAACAGTATAACAGTGTAACAGTGTAACAGTGTAACAGTGTAACAGTGTAACAGTGTAACAGTGTAACAGTGTAACAGTGTAACAGTGTAACAGTGTAACAGTGTAACAGTGTAACAGTGTAACAGTGTTATCTGCTGATTAACCTATGTTTTTTATCTATTTTATATCTGTTCTCACAGTTTCTGCAAGTACCTATGAAGCCGAGTAAGTGAAGTAACTCAAAATTCTGATGACGAGTCTCATTAAACATGGATGTTTAATGTCTAGAACATATCTTTGATGAAAATGCGTTCGAAGTTAGAACTATTATATATCTATTATATCTATATTATATACATGTATATGTAATAACTTATCACCTGACATTTCAGTATTACTGTTTGACCACTCAGTTAAATTCGTGATAACATTAACTGTGCGATCATGATAAATTGTCGATTTACTTGTTTATTAAATTAGATCAATAGGTAATAACAGTGCAGTTCATTTATATATATATATATATATAATATATATATATATATATATATATCAAATTATATTAAACATATTTAAACATATTAAAAAACATATTTTGAATCAAAACCCGGAAATTCTTGCACCTAGTAATCTGATATTCCATAAAAAATGAACCGCACTGTTATTAGCTATTGATCTAATTTTAAAAACAAGTAATTCAACAATTTATCATGATCGCATTGTTATCACGAATTTAACTGAGTAGTACGTGGTCAAACGGTAATACTGAAATCTCAGGTGATAAATTATTACATATCGTGTTAATAAGCTACAATGATGTCCTCAGCAATGCGGACTCAAAACCAATTGATTATGCTAGCCAATACAGTCTCCCAACAGAATGTATACTGGTGATTAGGTGATAACTTGGTAAGTAATCGGGCACGAGGACCGAGGACACAAGAGCGGTTCTTTTATAAAAGGGTGGACATGAGGGCGGATCTCATGATACTCACTTTGTGTCCCCCGCCGCATGAAACAAGACTGGTTCATAAGTGACAAAAGGGATAGATTAGGGGAGTCAGACATGAACAAATTTCCCAACAGTCAGAGACTCCAGTCTGTTTACTGCAAAATGATATTATCTTATTACCTTAGTATAATTGCTGTACAACTACTACAAAATGATATTATCTTTTATTGTACAACCGGTATTAGACAACTACTTTGACGTGCACTGTTTGCTTGTAATAATTGAACC